CTTGAAAATAAAGTGGGAAGACAGACTACCAAACACAGAGGAGCATGGAGGACTGATACACTTAAAAATCACTGTCAAAAAGAGGAGGTTGCAATAGATCTGCCATGTCAGGAGAATGGGAGGAGACCGTATCCTCACGAATATTTTTTATATCGAGATTTGAGATGCCTCTAGAAAGTGGGGTCACCCTTTACGGTGGTACCATGATGTGTGCAAAAATTATATGAAGTTGTTCAGCAGGATGAAGTTAGGAGAATTGTGCAGAATTTGGAGGGAAGATCTGGCACTGGGTGCAGCTCAACATGAAGCAGTTTTGATCCAGAGGATGGAAGCAAAGTGAGAAAGAAGAAAGCAGCATGCTGTAACTTGGACTCCAAATCTGGCACATGAAACTTATAACAATCTTTGTCGCTCTCAAACGTGGCTTATCAGCTGGGATCCGGGTTTTCCATTTCCCAAGGAAAAATGGAGAAAACCACGGATTCCCTGTTTTTATCCGAGAAAACACGGATTTCTCTTTTTAGCAGAGAAATCCACAGATTCTCCACCTTTGCAAAGAGCTCTTGCAGGCTGGCACAGCTCCAGCCTGCAAGAGCCAATTGCAAAAAGGGCGGGAAACCCCTAGCCCTGGCCGGAGGGGGGAGGGCAGAGCCTGAGCCTTTGAGGCAGCCAAGGCTGGGCTCAGGCTCAGGGTTGTACTCACCCTTCGCCCCTGGAGCATAGAGGTAAGTGGGGCTACGGGGCAGGGCTGGGGAAGATGGTTGGGAGCTGAGGGAGTGGGGGGTGCTGCCGGCCCCAGGTGGCACATCGCAGCTGGGAGCAAGGCCAGAGGGTGAGGGCAGGTGTGCCCCTCTGCGGGGGGGGGCAGAGCTTTGTGGGAAAGCGATTCGGGGCACAGTGGTAGTGCCTGCCATGTGCGGGCCACATGCATGCTGCCCGGGGGAGGGGGAGGCTGGCATACGGTCGGAGCATAGCTCTGTGGCCGGCTCTGCAGCCGTGGCAAGGGATGGGGGGGGGGGGGGCGGGGGGT